AGCTCCAATCTTCATCATTTCATTCATTTATCTTTCTTGCTGTTATCTCTGCTTTCTTTTCTCATTACACAGTACCAGTAAGTTGACCTTAAGTCCTTTATTAAATTTTAAACTGCCAGAAGATAATAGTAAAGAGTATTTTTGGTAGGTAAATTGCTAGAAGCCACCAGTGAAATGTGCATGAACCCAATTGGCATGGAAGCCATTGGATAAGAAAGTCTGGTATCTGGGAACTCCAGGATTCTGGTTTGAGATTGCCTGATACTTGTGACTTTCTATTCAGCTCTGTCACAGGTTCTGCATGGCACCGGAGATGAGTGACCCTGCTGGAGCCACGTAGCCACACAACCTCTCAGAGATGGGTGTGGCTTGCCAAGAGGCCAATCAACCTATTGACTGCAAGCCATCGCGAAGCAAGACTCCACAAGCTGAAACCTTATCCCTGCCTTTGATGTACTCTCTCTTAAATAAAGAACCTGAGCCATTTTCTAGTCATTCAGTGCTAGCTCCAACTGGGACTGGAGGACCTCTCCGGAGCTCCCCTTTTTTGAATCCACTTTCTGGCTCAGGCTCTTATTTCTTTACTAATTATTCCAGACTTTCTTTTTCTCAGGTAGTTCATCACCTTCTGAGCAGGAAACTATCCTGGCAGGATGCTGGCTGCCGAGGGGTAGTAAATGTTTGTAGAAATTTGCTTTTTAAACTCAAACAAGTGGCTAATTTATATGACATACTCTCATTGAATATTATTTTACTGCAAAAATGGATGAAAACATACTTTTTGAAACAGAGAACTCCACCTTGCCCATTTTGAGTATTGTAAATGATACATCTATATAACCTGCAATCTTCCATCATTTCATGCATTTATCTTTATTGCTGTTATCTCTGCTTTCTTTTCTCATTTACACAGTGCCAGTAAGTTGACTTTAAACCCTTCATTAAATTTTAAACTGCCAGAAGATAAGACTCTGACTTTTAAAACTGAACTTGGAAAATGGGTTCTGACCATCAGAAAAAGACAGTATTTCTGGCAAGAGGAAATAAGAGATAAACCATAATGAGGTGGGGCTTCACGGGTGTGTTCAGAAAGCCCCAAGCAATCCTGTTGGCCAGTGCAGAGGGTGTGCAGGAAGGAGAGAGAGAGAGAGAGAGAGAGAGAGAGAGAGAGAAACTGGAAATGTAAATTGGAGTCCTGTCACAGAGAGAAGAGCCTTAGAGGCTGGGTGGAGTTTGGGCTTATCTTGTCAAAGAGGAGCAGTTTGAAGGGAAGAGAAGCACAGATAAAAAGTGAAATGTAGGATGGGTTATGGCTCAGTGGCAGAGTGCTTGCCTTGCACATGTGAGGCACTGGGTTCAATCCTTCACACCACATAAAAATGAATAAATGAAATAAAGATATTGCATCTATCTATAACTAAAAAATATTTTTAAAAAAGTAAGTAAAATGTGACAGAAGGGCAGGCAGAACAGTGGGTACAATGACAGAATTACGAAGGCCAAGGGGAAAGGGTTGTAGAAGAGGCCCAGGAAGGGCTGACTAGTCTGAATTCTCCAAATGATTTTTTGAGTTACTAGCAGGACAGGAAATACTTAGCTGAATTGGAAATATGAGATTAACTGTTAGAAAAAAAGATTTGGTTTCAGAATTATGACTCATCATAATCTGAAGTTAAGGACATAATCTAAGATGGGAAGGGTTAAGGAACCAACCTCCCATCAGGGTTCTTTTTATAGGATTTTGAAATGCAGAAACAGAGAAGGCACAAGGCTGGGAAGGACAGGGTGGGACAAGAGAGGGAAATGCCATCCACAAAAAAAGAGAGCTGAGAAGAAGTCTTCTCACTTCATCATGGAGATCACAGGTCACCCTGGAGAGAGGAGCTTCAAGAGAAGGATGAAAAACCAAGGCAGATGGCCACGGAATGTAAGGCCATCAGGATGGACAATGGCGAGGACAGACTGACTGCTCATAGACATTTGACTGTGAGGGCAGAAGTGAGCAGACTGAAGGGCAAAGGCTGTTTGTGATTTTTAAGACCTGAACATTTGTGCTCACACAAGCAATTCCACAGCCCTTCTCAGCCTGTCACCTTCCCCTGCAAGGCCAGTGAGTGACAGTGACACTCAGTTATTGCCTTAAGTTTTAAAATTTTGCCTCTGCTGGGAAATGCCTGCAGGAAGTACCCAGTGACAGGTTTGCCAGAATGCTCTAGCTGACCTCTTACCTGGGTTATGGGTTCAAGACTCATCCCACAGAAAAACCTATGTCTGAGAGACAGTGTTGGGGAGAAAGAAAGGCTTTGTTCAGTGGCCGAAGAATGGTGAAGAAGGAGCTTAGCTCATGAATCAGCTACTCAACTCCAGAAGGCTGAGGGGTTACAGATATAGGATAGGAATAATGAGGGAGAGGGATAGACTAATACAGAGGAGGAGTATTCATGTATTTTCTGGGAATAGGTGAAGATCTTCCAGGTTCTCAGTGCCACTTCATTTCACTCTTCACGTTATTTGGTGTTTCCAGTCATGGAGGCTGGTAGATGTCTTTTAGTCTTGAAGCAGGCAGAAAGAGATAGTAGGCCAGTCTAGGTCAAGTTAACAATTATGATAGGCCCCATGTGAGCACTTGTAAATATTGCTAGGACATTTTGTATTGTATTATATTGTATTGAATTATTTTTATCATATTGTATTTTATTTCATTTTCTCAGTATTAGGGATTGGATCCAGGGGTGCTTTATAACTGAACTATATAGTCCTAGCCTTTTTGAGACAGGTCTTGCTAAATTGCTGAAGCTGGCCTTGAATTTACAATCCTCCTGTTTCAGCCTCCTGAGTAGCTGGGATTACAGGTGTGTGCCACCAAACCTCAATCCAATCTGTCATTTCTCTATTAATTTTGTCCATGTGTTGTTATTAAACAGAAATGTTTAATCTTGATGTGATCAAATTAAACATTTTCCCCATCGTTTGTGCTTTGGGGTGTTTGTTTATGGCATTATTTCCCTACCCCTCAGTTCACAACTTTATATGTGAATATTATTTTTTATTAACTTTACACTTTCACCTTTCATACTGCAGTTTTTTAGATAGGGACTTGGTTTTATTTCTTTGTTATCACAAGCCAGTTTTCCCAGGACCATCTTCTATAGCTTCTGTTCCTCCTCCTGCTAATATATGCACTGTTCTTTCTTTTTAAAATTCCTGTATGAATATGGTCTGTCCCTGAGCTCTCTCTTCTCTTTCATTTTTTTAAATTTCTTTTTGCACCAGTACTGTTTTATTACTATAGTTGCAAATAATTTTTCTTTTTTAAATTTGGTAGGGCAAATGCATTCTGTACTAATTGAACAAGGGATTATGAGAAGAATGTTTTCAGAGTCTTCAGTTGACAATCCCCCCTTCCTCCAGTTCAATACTCACCTCTATTGATATCTATACCGGTTTTGTTTACTTTTGCTTTTCTCGTGGGTTATAAAAAACCTACAAGCAATTTGGGAAGGGGATACTGGGGATTAAACTCAGAGACACTTGGTCACTGAGTCATATCACCAGCCCAATTTTGTATTTAGAGACAGGGTCTCACTGAGTTGCTTAGCACCTTGCTTTTGCTGAGGCTGACTTTGAACTAGTGCTCCTCCTGCCTCAGCCTTCTGTGCTACTGAGATTATAGGAGTGCACCACTACTTCCTGGCTAAACGCATTTTTTTTTTTGGAGAGACTTAAATCATATCTGGGTGTGGTGATACACGCCTGCAGTCCTGGCAACTCAGGAGGTTGAGGCAGGAGGATCTCAAGTTTGAGTTCTGCCTGGGCAATTTAGAGAGACACTGTCTCAAAATAAAAAATAAAAGGTCTGGGAATGTAGCTCAGCAGTCATATACCCCTGGGTTTAATCCCCAATACTAAAAAATTAAAAAAAAAAGAAAACTCAAATCATTCATTATATCCATAGTTTCAGGGATACAGTGACCCATCTAGATTCTGATTTAAGATTGAAAGAGGGAGCACATGTCTGCCTAGGATATAGATTTGTACTTAATAAGTGGCTTTGCTATCCATCCTGGGGACAGGATGTGGTAGGAATAAGAAATGGTACCCGAGCTTTCCTTCTTCTCTTTAAGGCAATTCTCTCCAGCCTGGTTTCACTTGTTACTGTAAAATGGTAAGAAGCACCAGAAGACTAACTATGAGGAAAAGTTGGTCATGAGTACTAAGTTATAGTTAGATAGGAGAAAGAAGTTCTGGAATTCTGTTATACTGTAGGGTGACTGTAGATGATGATAGTGTACAGTGTTTCCCAAAAAAGCTAGAAGTAGTCAAGTGGAGTGACATATGCCTGTAATCCCAGCAACTTGGGAGGCTGAATAGAAGGATTGAAGTTCAATACCAGCTTCAGTAACTTATAGAGACGCTGTCTCAAAATAAAATATAAAAAGGATGGGGGATATGGCTCAGTGGTTAAGTGCCTGTGGGTTCAAAAAAAAAAAAAAAAAGCTAGAACAAAGGATTTTTAAATGTTATTATCACCAAAAATAAATCTTTGAGTATATAGTATGCTTACCCAGACTTGAACATTACACAATATTTATTGAAACATTGCATGGCACCCCATAAATATGTACAATTTTATGTATCAATTTAAAGTGAATATATATGTATATATACATGTATATGTATACATATACTATATACATATATAAAATTGTCATATGACTTTTATATTTGGAGAGAAGAGCACCCTAAACTCAAGTGGAAATGGTTCTATCACTATCTGTTATTTTGTGTGGATCTAGACTAAAAAAATTACTCATTACTTTTCTCCCATGATTTTTCTATTAAATAAACTCTCAAGTTCCTTGTTTCAAAGGTACCTACTATCTTTAGGCAGAACGCTACATTAGCCTGGTGCTGGGCAGGACCATACCTGCTGTGTGGGGTTCCCCCAGTGGGTACGCCCTTACCACTTGTCTGACGAGCAGTTGTGCCCCTCTCTTTAGGAACGACTCACCCGCCGGTTCAGGAAGCTCAGAAAGGACATTGGAGAACTTCAGCGGCTCAAGGCTCAGGAGGAGGAGAAGCTGCAGGCTCTGCAGGTGGGTTTCTCCAAATCCTAGGAGGGAGAGATTGTGTTGGAGAGTCCTCAGGCACCTCTCTTCCTGTTTTGGATGTCTGTCCCCTGAGCAGCCTGAAGGGGATGGAAGGTTGCTGAGGCTAAATACCTGGGTGTTGGGTTGGGCTTCAGGGTTGGCTAGTGGAGTGACCTGGGGCATGATAAGCCCTCTGACTTTCATGTGACTTATATTAACTGAAAATCAATCTTACTCTCTCTGGTGACAATCAAAAGAGACATCAAGTGAAAATTACTACACCAACCAAGGGCTCTGTCCCAAGAGCCCTAGGTGGGAAGTTTCCTTTCTTTTGGATAGTCTTTCTTTATGAGAAACACAGCTGCCTCTGTGATGCCTGTGACACAGGGAGGCTGTCCCACCAGGGGAAGAGGACTGAGGAATCAGCATTCTTACTCAGGTATTCAACTGTGGAGGGCCAGGAGGGAGCCATCTGACATTGAGTCTTAGGGAGTCCGTTTTCTGGAGTTTCAGGTAGACTGTAGAAACCACAAGTTGGAGGCTGAGCTGGTGAGTTAGCACCAAAACAAGGGACAACTGGATATTATCCCTCAACAGCAGCTGGAGGACACATCAGCAGAAGAGGCCAGAATCCTTGAGCTCTCCAAGGCAATAGCACAGATCAGCCTTCTGGTTGCTGATCTGGAGAGTACAGCCAAGGAGTTGGATGCCAATACACTGACGGTGTGTACCTGAGGCACATCCCCAACACTGGGATTCTCTCTGAATAGTATGCAGCCCACCTACAGCACCCCTCCAGGAGATGTAAAGGAAGTACTCACGTTGTACATAGGGGCAAGTAGTGGTGGTGTTTGTCCAAGTTCACACCCTGCTGCTTCAGCCTGGTAAGGTGTAGAAGGAGGGTATAATCCCCTGCAGCTTCCAAGGTGGCCCCCAGAGTGACCTTCAAGAGCAAGTTTGGAAGGGAATTTGGAGGTGTCAGGAACCTGAGACCTGATTGTGATTCTCACTCTCTTTCTCTCTTTTAGACTGCCAGTGACTTACTGAAAAGGTATGAGCCATCCCTTTTCTCTTCCCGCATGTACAGACTCATCACATAGAGGTGCACATGGACTTCATCATTTTTGCCTTCATGCTTCATGGCCAGTGGTGTCAAAGGAAAGCAGGGAGTTGAAATTCCAAACGTCAGCTGCTGTGTTCAGATGAAAGAAGATTTAAAGTCAGACAGCAAAAGTCATGCAAGAGAACTTTATTAGAAGTCAAAGTGAGGTGAAAATAAAGTAAAAGAAAAGTGAGGATAATGCTTTCCCCAATTTTATTATTGTTTTTTGTTTACCAGGAGAACTGGGGACCATGTTCTGTGCTCTTTGTAAATCAAGTGTTCAACTCTTCCTTCACATTGGGCAGTGGAGTTACTGACCTTAGTTGGTCCTCCCCGAAACTGCCATAGTGGCCTTCCTCTTTAGGGAAGGTTTCATCTACAAGTCAATCCTATGTTAATGTGAGCATTGGGGTCAATAGCTTGTCAGAAGTTACCTTAGTGCACCCACTAAAGGAATCTTCCTTCCCAGACAATTGGAGACACTTAAAGCCATAATTCTGAGTTTTATGTCAACATTAATGGACCCTGTAAGAGTTAGTTCCATTAATCCTTTTCTCTTGCCATGTTTCCCAATTAGCTCCTTTTGCTTGTTTATTTTCTACAAATCAACTATTACTCTTTGCTTTCTCTTCTACTTTGAAGTAGTTTAAAGAAGGACCCTAAAGACAGGTGCACTGGCACATGCCTGTAATCCCAGTGGCACGGGAGGCTGAAATAGGAGGATCAGGAGTCCAAAGCCAACCTCAGAAAAAGTGAGGTGCTAAGCAACTCAATGAGACCCTGTCTCTAAATAAAATACAAAATAGGGCTAGAAATATGACTCAATGGTTGACTGCCTCTGAGTTCAATCCCTGGTCCCAGGGGGGAAAAAACTTAAAGTAATTTAAAAAAACACCTGTGACCTTGCCTGCATTTCACTGCTCATTGCTAGTGACTACCTAACAGTGGAAGATTCTACAGAATATATGAATTTATCAAGGATTTCTTTGTTTCTAGGAGTACTCCAAATAATCTAGATGAACTCCTCTCTCTGCTTGCTCCAGCTGGTCCAGTGGCCAATTAATCTTCCTGGTGCATCATCAGGTCTGCCATCTCCAGAACACATACCTATTTCGTCATCCCTACAGCCGTGATCTGATGCCTGGATCTCTGACACTTGGACTCAATCTCCTTCCTGAATGAGGTTCATGCTATGGCTCTCACTGTGGAGGTCAGATCCATGATCTCCAGGACCACTTACATGATCTCCATTTTGCCTGTAAACCAATGGTATTAAAATAAGCACCCAGGTATCTGGGTGGCATGAGCTCACCAATGATGATGCCACGTTAGTACATGGATCCCAGCAGGTTTGTGGGAGGAATATTTCTTCTGAGCTTCAGTAGCACCTGTTCTTTGTACCATACAACTGTCATGGTAGACAGACTCCAGGGGGGATCCCCATGATTCTCACCTCTTGGTGTTCATGCCCTTGTGTGACTTCCTTCCCCTGAGTAGACTGGGAATCATTACTTGCTTCTCATCAATGAAAAATGGCAAAGATGGTGGAGTGTCACTCTAGTACTATGTTACTTGGCTTAGGATTCCTCCTTCCTAGCAGACTCAACTCTAGAAGCTCTACTTGCTGACCTGTTGAAGTGGGAGGATCTACCTTCTAACCAGTAGGAACAGGGACCCTTAGTCTCCCAGCTATAAGAAAATGAATTCTGCCAACATCTGAGTAAGACTGGAAGTAGATTCTTTTCCACTTGAGCTCCCAGATAAGAACCTGGTTCAGCTGACACCTTGATGACAGTCTTATGAGACCCTACACAGAACATTCTGTTAAGTTATGCCCAAATTTTTGACCCCCCCAAAAACTGAGACAATAAATATGGATTGTTTAAGGTAGTAAACTTATGGTAGTATTAATGGAAAATGGATAACTAATATAATTGTATATTAATTACTTATTCATGTATCTCACTTCTTTGGGTGAGCAAAGATATTACTCTATGTTCTCAATTGTTGGTGCCTGGCTCATAGTTGGTGCATAATAAAACTGTAAATGGAGGCATGAGTGAATTAATAGCATAACTTGATCCTCCATGTATGAAAGGAGTCATCAATTGCTTTTTTTATTTTTATTTTTAGTATTGGGGATTGAACCCAGGGATGTGCTACCATTGAGCTACTTCCCCAGCCCTTTTAATTTTTTATTTAGAGACAGGGTCTCACTGAGTTACTGAGACTGGCCTCAAACTTGCCATCTTCTTGCCTCAGACTCCCAAATCACTGGCATTACAGGTGTGTACCACCATACCCGCCATCAATTGACTTTTAACCAGTATTGTTTAAGCCTTTGCTGAGTCAATACTGTACTAGGCACTTAGGGATTTTTTTAAAAAAAGCCATGGCCTCAAGGAGGTGCCATGTTGTACTGCCAAGAGTGAAGACTTGGGTGTCAGAGTTGAGTTTAAGTCCCAGTGCTGAAACCTAATGCCTCTGTGGCCATTGACAAGTCACTTAGCCTCTCTGAACATCAGTACTACCCCCTTTAAAGTGTGGGTAATGGTACCTGTGGCCTGCAGTGGTTGTAAGAATTAAACTCCATTGTGCATGCTCAGTGTCTGCTGCAGTGTCTCCCACAGTGTAAAACATCAAGTATGTTACTTCCACTACTTTTTAAAAAATTCCACTTCCCCATCCAGAAGCTACAAGAGAGTGTGTAACTGGGTTAAATGAAGTGTCGTGGATGTTAAATGCTTGGGAATTGCAAGAGAGAAACAAGTGAAGCTGGATGAGTCAGGGCAGGTTTCATGGGGGAGGTGGGGCCTGGACAGGTTGGAGAGAAAGATGAAAATATTCCAGGTCAGGCTATCACTTGAATGAAAGTATAGAGGTAGAAAAAAGCCATGACACAACTGTAGACACATGAGGAAACTGACTGCTCATCTGGAATGCTCAGGAACTGGGGAGACCAGACCTCAAACAGGTGAGATGGATGAGAGCAAGATGTAGGGGGCCATCAAAAGCTTTTAAGTTGGGAGTGAAAAGGAAAGTGGTGTTTGCAGTAACTAGTCTGGATCCTTTGTGCAAGATGAACTGGGCAGCGAGTTGGGGATTCTAGAGAGGCCAGAGGAGAAAGAGCCTAGTGTAGATGTTCAGGAAAACAAGAGTGTAGTAACTTGGCAAGAAGGTGTTGATCTCAAGAAACCTAAGACCCCACATCTAAAAGCAAGATAGCAGCCAAGGAAAGAAGACCCCTGAAGTTGACAGCTAACAATCCCTGACTCCTCTAATGGGTTAATGTCACAGAGAGAACCTGTCCAGAAGTGGAGGAGTGGGAGGAGACTGAAACTAGAGGTCATTATGCTGCAGTTGCCTGCCAGGGCCTCTAGACCTCTTCCAATGGAACCATAGATGTTTGGGACAAGGGTGGGTATCTGGTCAGCAGATGGTTGGCTGATTGAGTCTATGGGTTGCCTGTTGAGAAGAACCTGTCAAAGAGGGACAATAGTGATTCACTGAAACCATCAGGTTCTCCTGGAAATTCAAAAGGGATCTTTGATAATAGTATCATTAGTTGGCAGGGAAACTACTGCAGACAGCAGCCAAGCTGCCATACAGCAGATATTGAGAGCAAGTGTTCATGACCCTGTTGCTGAGTGACTACAGAATGGTCTTGTCTCTACACTTCCTTGGACCTGAACCCTCCTTCCTACCAGTTCTTGGGCTTGTAATTGCATGATGACCATGAACACAAGCCTGGGAACCAAACCACCTGATTTCCAGTGCTTGAGCAGCTGCTCACTCTCAGCTGATGTGGGACAATACTCAGCCTCCACATCTCAGTTCTCTCTCATGCAAAATGGGATCTTACCAATAGTACCTACCTCATAGAGTTGATGTGATGATTAAATGAGTTAATATATTAAAATATTTATTATGGCATTTGGTCAAAGTGAGCTGTGTTTGTTCTTATTTATCAGCATTTTTCAAATTTCTAGTTCTTCCTATGGAAACTGGTACTGTTCTCCAATCCCCTAACCCTTGCAAGAGCTTCTGTGAAGACTTAATAATGGTGGAAAATCTCATTTTCCTTATTTTGATGTCTATTCTTATAATAAACTTTCCTGTTATCTGAACTAATTGGAGTGGGCCTCCTTTCTTTGCAAGAGAAAGGTCTGCTGTAATGCAAACTGTGAAAAAAAATTGGGGTAAACTTGCGGATGTCACAGTGTGTGACACTAGAGTATGGGTCTCTAGACTTTAGCACTTACTTCCTGGGGAGGGAACCCAGAGTCTGATTTCTGCAAGCAGAGCATGGAAGTTCATTGGGGTGCTTTATTGTAAGGTCACTGTTTTGGGATTTATCTACTTCCTCCAAAAGTAAATAAATTTCAAGTAAGTAATTACCTTAAAGGAGGAGCAGGTCAGTATGAGTATTTTCACTCACCAGCAGTTTTATTCCCCAGTTTAAGAAATATAAGCCTTTTTTTTTTTTTCTGAATCCAAATTGCCTGTGTGGAGCATAGCCAGTATTAACATATTAACCAGGTTCCCCAGGCATCTGCTTTTGAACAAGGCTGTAAAGCCTAGTAGTTAAGATCTCTTGCTGAGAAATAACCAACTCACTAGGCCTTGGTTTCTTAGCTTCAAAATGGGTAACTCACAGAGTTACCAAGATTAAGTAACATAATTGTGAAGCCCTCTGGCTGGCCTAGACCTTCATACACATATTTAAGTAGGCTCATCGTCTGTTTTTTTTTTTTTTGGTGCCAGGGATTGAACCCAGGGGTGCTTAACCACTGAGCCACTTCCCCAGACCTTTTTAAAATTTTATTTAGAGACGGGGTCTCACTGAGTTGCTGAGGCTGGCTTTCAACTTGGGATCCTCCTGGCTCAGCCTCCCAAGTCCTTGGGATTACAGGTGTTCACCACTGCACCTGGCTTCATCTAACATTTCATTCATTTTTAAAGACCCAGGAATAACCAATAGAAGCAAACAAAAAATATATAATCCTACATTCTAGTGGAATCCCAGGTTTGGGGGTGTGATATGTTTTATCATTATATAGATACTGTGTGTGTCATTATTTGGGGAATATACAACATTTGAGAATATACAACACTCAGGAGAAGCCATTCAACCCCCCTTGAATACCTGGCTCCTGATCACCATGACTTTCCTACCTACTCCTCCGAGGTTGAACAACAGAATTCTCAGGGGAATTTTAAGCCTGGACCTAACTCTATGGTGCCCTCTGCCTTTGAGGTAGCACCCTGAGTGGTGCACCTTCTCATGGAGGACCAAGTAGGAAGACATGAGGAATTGAAGTTTATGTAAGGGCAGGGTAAACAAATGTTAAACAGACTGTCAGAGTAAGGGGCATGTGTAAGCAGAATAAAATACAACATCAAGAATTAGAAAATAAAGGACCATCACTCAGTACAGTTAAAAAAATATTTTCATAATGCATAGGGATGACAGATATCATTTTCCAAATTCTAGGCAGCCATATCTGTCCTGGAATCAGTACAGGGGCAATTCTAGACTTCCCAGACCCAGCATGACCACAGTCCCTCCATTACCACCAGGCTTCCAGTCTCCCACAGGCCTCTGTACTCCAAATCTGCTCATCTCCATATCCCTAATCTCCCCTTTTTCACACCATTTTTCATATGTAGCCTTTTGTGTGTTCCTAGAGCAGCCTCAACTCTTTAGGCTAAGGGGCAAAGGTCCTCCAGTTCATCCCCCGACCTTTTCTTCCATCACCTTATTTCTTGACCTCACCTTGATCAGGAGGATGGTTTCCCCCCAGAGGTTGAATGTGGTCTTTGGGTTATGGTTTATGGTTAAGCCTCCCCTGTCATCTTTTTCCTAAGGCCGTATACCTTCGTCTCAGCCAAAGTGACACCACGAGGAGGAGGGACAGTGAGTGGTGTTGGGTTGGGATGATGCATGTCTGCTCATGAGGTTATGGAGATGACCTAGTGCCCCCTGAGTCACAGCCCATCTACCCAGTTCTCCGCTGTCCCCATTTCCTAAGGTGCTTCCTCCCCTCCATTCCTCACTTAACACATGCCTCCTTCAGACCCACCTCTTTCAGAAAGCTATCCCTGACTCACCCTCTCCTCTGGGCTTCCATAATACCCAAGTTGAACCCCTGTCACAGAAGCCACCATAGTGTGCCAAAATATAGTCTTTACGTCTCTGTGTCTTCCCAGAGCTCCTTCAGATACAGGATGAGTTGGTTTTTTTTTTTTTTTTTTTTTTAGCGAGAGAGAGAGAATTCTTTAATATTTATTTTTTAGTTTTTCGGCGGACACAACATCTTTGTTTGTATGTGGTGCTGGGGATCGAACCTGGGCCGCATGCATGCCAGGCGAGTGCGCTACTGCTTGAGCCACATCCTCAGCCCTTTTTTAAAAATTTTTATTTCAAATCGCCAGTGGCTGCCTACACTTTTTGGTTCATAGTTAGCCCACAATAAATGTTCCTTGAGAATATGAATAAATGAACTCTAACATTTTTTGTTAAGAAGACAAGATGAAGAGAGCTGGGGGTCCTGCTTGAACTCATACAATTGGTTGGTTACTAAGCTTGGTCTTGAACTCAGGTCTTCTGGCTCCAAATCCAGTGCTCTTTCTGTATATAGCTCTTCTGTGACTGATGGTGGTGAGGAGAGTTTGCAGCAATGGAGTTCCCAGATACCCTGACCATCCACTGGTCACTTGGGGAAAACCTTGATCAGTGGATTAAAGTTCATCTCATCTTGGCCCTTACCATCATATCTAAAGAAGCCATTTCTATTCCAAGTCTTCCAAATGACTCAGCCAGAGATCAAGTTCACATGATACTTGATTTGAGTCTTGTATTTGGAGGAGGGTAATTTCACCCTCTCAATAGCTCAGAGAGAAACTGGACCCTCGGCCCCAGAGCCCAAAGAAGGGAAAGACCTTCCCAGTGAAGGAGGCAGTGAAGGTGTAGATGTGCTCATGAGTGACAGCATTGGCAAAGGTCACCCAGCCCACCTCGTAGTCAAGAGATACCCGCACCTGCCGGAGCTGCTCCTCCAGGGCCAGTCTTGCGGGGAAGGAGGCCAAAGCAGAGACAAAGCCCCAGGCCAGCCTCAGAGCCCACACACCCTCCTCTGGGCGCAGCCGCAGCTCCCCCTTACGCCGAACATCCTCACTCACCACACCCACAGTGCAGCTGCCCCCGTGGGCCAAGTCCACGCTCACCACCCATGTGTGTCTCCCGCCTGTGAAGCCACTGTGGGCTAGGACACAGGTGGCCCGGTCAAAACGCTGGGGGCTTTCTGGTGAATTCTGCCATTTGTAGGAGAACTGAGCCCGTTGGTGGTCCTCAGACAAGAGGAGCTTGGGGTGGGAAGTCTGGGGGTCTAGAGAGATGTGAGCTATGGGAAAAACCCAAAGAGACAAAGATGTCAGAAAACATGCTATGACCTTCAAGGACAGCCTAAAACTCTTCTTTGCACCCGCTTTCTAATGTTATGGCACCTGCAAGGACCCTCAGCATGCGCATCACCTGGGAACTTGTTGTAATTCAGACTCTCAGACTCTGCATCTCAACACGGTGCCCAGGGGGTTCCTCTAAGGAACCTCAGAGGGGCTACAGCCCTTATTCGGTTTCTGTCCTGCTGGGCTGCAAGAAGTACCTGCCAGCTGGACCTCCCTCCTGCTGGTACACACAGCTGCCCCTCCCCCATCTCCTTCTCAGAGGCAGAGACTTTTCTCCCCTGGGGCCCAACTTCAGGATTTCTCCCTTGCTCTCTCTCCAGGCTTGGTGACTCCTTTGCACACTTGTGCTACCAGCAGGCTATCTGAGTCAGCCTTGACTCAGACAGCCTTGGGTTATTCACCCTGCTTCAGTCACTCCAAACTGCCAGACTCTGATGACCACTTTTTAACAGCAAAAACTTTGGCAGAACCCTTCAAATTTTTACTTTTAGTATCCATACATTGAGGAAAACCCATAAATTCAGATCTATCCATGGGTTAGGGAGCTATCCCAACAACTCTATGACTCCTCCTCCAAAGGACAGTGTCTTTAGCTGATAGATGGGAAATAATGCTGCCCTCCTTCAAACTGTCATTAATGAAATGACACCTGAGAGGGAGCAGCTCTTTGAGAATGTGATTATAAACCCAGACCAAAGTTCCTCTCATGCAAAAAGGCTTCTCTGATAGGCCTTATCCCATTCCAATTTAATCTTTCTATCCACTCAACATGTGCAGATCAGAATGTGAAACTTCATGAGGAATGTATGTGCACCTGTCCTTTCTTATATATATCATCTCTTGATGTCTGTAGGGGACTGGTTCTAGGAACCCCATGAAGACCAAAATCTTCAGATGCTTAAATTCCTTATATAGAATGGTATAGTGTTTACATACACATATATTCTTATATGCTTTAAATCATCTCTAGATTACTTATAATACATACAAAGATGTAAATGCTATGTAAATATGGTATACTGTATTGTTTAGGGAACAATGACAAGAAAAAAGTCTGGCCATATTTAGTACAAACAGATTTTCTGAATATTTCTATCTGAGGTTGGCTGAATCAATGGATATGGAACCCATGGGTATGCAGGGGTGACTCTCTATGTGTATACACACAAATATATGTGAATACATATGCATGTGTGTGTATATGATGTGTGTGATTATACATATATATGATTATTGTAGTGCTCAGTGTAGAGCCCTGCAAGATTGTTTCTCCTTTTTAGGATCGCCATCCTGATGTAGGCTGCTTACCTGGCTCATAGTCCAACTCAAAGCAGAGTTTTTCTGTAAAGAGGAAATAAAACAAGATGAGATTTCATTATTTTTGAAACCAGAGAACACCCAGTGATAAGGGAACAGGTCCAGAAGAGGGAAGGGACAAGGAGAAGAATAGAAGTTAGAATCCTCTAGGTCAGCGGTTCTAAACGTGAACTTGCATTGGAATTACTCGAGTACTTGCTAACACACACCTGATTCACATTCCTGTGCTCTGGAGTGGGCTTCAAAAATTGCATTTTTAACAAGTTCCCAAGGGGATACTGATACTGTTGCTGTTGACCAGGAGCCCCCCTTTGAGAACCACTGCCCTAGGTCTGAGTGGGCAGCGG